ATTATCACCCTCAGAACTTCAACGCAAAACTTTTGCCTACAAGATTGAGACCAAGTAAGTTACCTGTCAAATTAGCAACTAAAGATTAAAGTAATTTCTTGTTTAATAATTATCATTTCTTTTGAAAACGATATCCGAACTGGAAATAAAAATGTTAAAATAAATATAATTAAATGAGTAGGTTTATGTTGTGTTAGATCTGCATAAAATTAGGGTCACCTCCCAATTTAAAGTTATTTTATTTCGAGTAAGTTATTTTTTCAGAGTGTAACACACTTTATTGATTGCCTTGAAAAAGTTGTTGTCGTTTTTATAAGGCCCCTCATCGAAATTTCTATAAACCATTATCATGATAGTTTTTGGTTCTGTGGTTTTATCTGTTGATTGAGAATTATTTGTGTATTGCTGTAATTGTTAGTATCTTACAATGAGCATAAATTCTGTTCTTGCGGCTTAATTGATGTCAGTGGTCAGCACAAAAGTTGACTGTTTTCTCCTAACTAGCATTTAGAAAAACATAACGTCACGTCAACGGCAGTTTTCCATTGAAATACTCTGCAAGAAGACAGAAATGTGGCATAAGTGGGAGGATCATAAGATACAAGCCGCTGGATTGCCTTTTCGAACTGTCATATTAAATTAAATGAGAACACTTAACTTGTCCAATAACAAATTGGAGTTTTGTATTGTTTTCAGATGCATCGCGATTTTCTATTACGGTCTCATAGAGACGTGAAAGAGTAGGATAGACGACCAGGCGAGTAAAGTGTTCAAGTTTGTATTGTGCTAGTTAGTCTTTATCGAGAATTGGACGTAGAACACGATATTTTACCATTTATGGTTATAGTTGGAGACGAAGCAACATTTATTCATAGTAATGACCGACCCCACACTGCTCGAGTAGTTACTGATTATCTTATTGAGGATTAATTTACGCGATTTGTCAGACCTGATCGCAATCCCAATTTAAATCCCAACGAACATATTTGGGATCAGATGGGAAGGTGCTTACAGAGACGTGTGCCGGCCCTCCACAAATTCTTGAAAACTCGCGAAATACTTGTGCAGGAATGGAACAATCTTCGACAGAACAAGATCCAAAATCTGATTTAAGGTAAGCTTTGTAAACATATATAAATATACAGTGTATCAATTTTAAAACTTACAATGGGCTATATCTCACGAACAAAAGCTGATGTCGAAAAATGCTTAAAACCGTTTCTAGGATAGTAAGAGGGAAGTAAAATAACATGAAAGAGAACTCACCCCATGTTGCAGTTTCGCAACTGTAAATAAACATGTGTAAATGTACTTTTAAATACTTTAAGATTTTTTAATAGTTTCTATTCTCCTCGTATATTATAAAACCAGATTTGCGTGTAAGTGACACAGCCGTTTTAAGGGCTAAAGATTGCAAGGCGGGCCATCTGCCAAATATCACCACATGTGTGTAATACCTAAAATAAGGGTTTGCGTTTGTTACAAAACAAGAGTCGAAAAGTATCTCTCGAACGATGAACATGTGTATGTAAAGACGAAGAGTACCTGACTCCTTATCGGTCTTTTGACCAAAAAAGACGAAAATGTGCATAAAACTTGTGTAGTTGAAATCGGCCGCTGAAGGCGTAATTTGCGATAGCCCTAGTGCTATATTTTCATGGGGTAAGGAACAATACACCATTTATATATGATTTGCTGCATATATCAAGTACGTGCACTTGGTATATTTATTTGATATTTGTTGGAACTTCATCGCATTTGTGCCGCGATCGCAATTGAACATTGTCAATTTTACATTTTGCGTTTGTTCCGGTTTATTTACTATATTCTTATTTTTGTATTTTGTTTTGTAAACACCGATTTATTTTATGCGTGGTTTGTATTAATAATTGTATTGTTTGTATGTTTTTATACCATTGATATATAGGTATATATCCATATTTTTATGTTTTTGTTGTAATATTATTAATTTGTTTTTTTATCTTTAATGTATAGTATGTTTGTGGCTATGGTAGGTTTTGTCTTTTGTTTTGTCAGTGGTTTTTAATAGAATCGACATCTTTTTGTTTGGGTTGGTTTATGGTTGTCTTTCGGTGTGTCTGTTGGTGTGTTTCATAGTAGCTAATAGTTACGTTTGTAATATATTATTCTTCTTTAATTATAATGGTATATTTGGTATGTATATTATGTTTAATTTTACACCTTTTTAAAATAGAGTTTTATACAGTCCACTGGCTTTGATTTCTTTTCTTTAGTTGAATATATATACCAATTCGAAAGGGGGAAACCAGCGAGTTCTGGATTGACCAGAATATCTTCTCGCCCCTTCAGGATGATCTCAATTGTTATATTGAGGTCATCGTATGTGCAGAATGCAACACCCCAATCAACCCCCTTAGTCCCCACCTACCACAATCAAAAAAGTTTAAATTGCAAACCCCTACTTGTTATACATCATTGAAAAGACTATAAAAAATGCTATCCAATGGTATAAATAATTATACAGGGTGAAGCAATAATTATGAAACTTTGGACACAGAATAATAAACAATCAGAATGCCCACTCAAAATGGAAAATTAAGTACGCGCATCTCGTTCGCGCAGACGTTCCGCCATGTTTTAAAGGTAACCAGTGTTCTTCAGTGAAAATGTATGTGGTGTGAAAAGAAAAATTAACCCGGTTTAATTGACTTACGGCAATCATAGACATACTATGCAATTATTTTAACATTGTTAAATGTAACATAAATATAAAATAATTAAATATAATTAAACATAAATATAAACAATTACATAACCTCACAAATCATATGTCGATAAAGACCCATTACACCAAATATGATTCTCAATCAGAGCCTGTGTCAACATGGCGATCGCGTACTGAAAAACTTCAAAGGAGGCATCTGAGAGTGGGCATTCTGATTGTTTATTATTCTGTGCTTTGGCTTAAATGGAAAATTTTATGAGGTTTTTGTTGATTCTGCTGATGACCCTGTATAATTGTTTAATAATTATAAATGGTGATAATATCAGACGGCTTACTATGACTTTTGTATTTTTAATGGTATCTCCCGGACTATTATTTTTAATGAGCCTGTCGGATTTTTTTTGTTAAATAAAAAGTTAATTTGCCATTTTTGCAAAACAAGTTGAAAACATCTGTTTTTTGGGCTCTGTAAGATTCATTAATTTTTGGTTTATTTGAGAATTTTAAATGTCATTAGTTTTCATCATTTGTACGATCGGTACTGTCATTCAGCTGTAGTTGTCGCGATGGTTTATAGTATACCTGAATGCGTGGAGATAATTTTCATATTTTCCTCCCAGAACCAGTGTTATTTACGAACAGCTCAAATATTTCATGAAAGGCATCTGGACAAAAATGTAAGCCACGTGTATGTCCGTGATTTAGTTGAAAAGTTTAGAGAAACGGGATCAGTGCAAAATAATAAAAGGGATTCCTAAAGATTACTGAATGAAGCATCCCAAATTGAGGTCCTTGGAAATTTTGCAATAGAGCCTCAACACGTCAAGTACCTGCAATGACGGGATTTTCACATGAGTTGGTAGAAAGGTCTTGAAATTTCATAAGTTTCACCCGTACAAAACACAAATTCAGGCAATTTAGAGAACCAAAGGGACGATCAAGGCATTTCCTTTACTTTCAACAAAATGGAGCCCCCCTCACTATGCAGCTTCAGTTAGGCACGGGCTCGATATGAATTATCCGAACAAATTGATTGGAAGGAGAGGTCCTAGTAAGTGACCACAGAGGTCACCAGACTTACCGCCAGCTGACCTTTTGCATTACCCCAAGTCAGTTGTTTATAAAACTCAACCTGCGTCACTTGGGAAACTGCGAGAAAGAATTATGAAAGCATGTCGCGCTATTACTAGAACAACATTTGCCAAAGTTCGTGCAGAATTTGAAAATAGGCTGTTTTGTTTACAAAATTTTCCATTTAAGAGAAAAGTTTCGCAATTATTGCTTTACCCTGTATAATTATTATTTATACCATTGGATAGCACTTTTTTTAGTATTTTCAATAATGCATCACAAGTAGGGTTTGCAATTTAAACTTTTTTGGTTGTTTAGGGTGGTACCTAGGAGGTTGATGGACGTGAGTTCTCTTTCATATCATTTTAGTTCCCCCTTACTATCTTAGAAACATTATCAAGCAATTTTCGATATCAGCTTTTGTTCGTGAGATATAGCCCATTGTAAGTTTTAAAATTGACACTGTATAGTTTGCAAGGTCTCTGCCAAGAGGGAATATTAGGTATTTAGGTCCTTAAAATTTCGATAGGTAAAATAGAAAAGATTTACAATTGGTTTTATTGTAACTTTTAAAACTAATTGTAGGTCTCTCCTTTTCTATTTTTATCTATTGAAAAGGGACTCACCTTTGTAAACAAGTCTTCATATTTCGTTAAAACTTTTGTTTCATCGAAAAATTGTTTGAAAGAAAATCGCGCGGTTGTCCTAATGTTATGCTCGGTAGTTTAAATTCTAATAAATTGCTACTACTTGAGAACATGCAAGCCTTAAGTGTCAGTGTACTTGAATGCAAAATTTCATGAATAACGTCTGTATGGTTTCAAAATATTTACTTGGTTCCATGCTTTATCCCTACTCTGTATATATGCAGTAACGACGAATAATATCAGTAGAGTTTTAAAGAATTAGGAGAATAACAGTAACAGGAAAATAAGTAACGAGAATTTTTAAACCGTTCGAAAATAATTTAAATTTACGCATGCATGCAGTTTCTTTCCCAAACTATACCCAAAGTACCTATTTAATTGCACAGTTGGTTAGTTTTATGTTCCAAAATGATGTGTAAACATACACTTATCTCTGATACGCCAATAAAATCAAATACAACTTATTGTTTTCAAAAATTTCGTGTAGAAATTATAAAAATTATCTAGGTCATAGTTGATGAAAGATATAAATTGAAAGGTAGCTTGTCGCGAGTAATAATAAAAAAGGTACTTACTATTGAATCTCCAGCACCATTTAAGATGTTTGAGGATTCCTCTCCACAGACTAAAACTGGATCTAAAGGCAACTCAGGACTAATATACCAATAATTGTGTGAGTAAAATAAATGCAAATCATCCTCTATAGTACCGTTATTATTGATATTTACCTTTTGTTCGTTGTCATTTGTGTCTTTATTCGTATTAGTGATTTTATCTTCTGTAGTGACATTCGAATTTAATTGACTAAGTTCATTGTTAACGTTTGTACTATGTTCAATATTTAAATTAGAATTATTTACAATTAATTTAATATTTTGCATTGCATCTGTTAATTGGTTATTTATTTTTTCGCTAATATTATCACACACTATCACATTTGGGGTGCACTTTGGATCTTCTATCGAATCTTTATCGTTTAGGTTTTCAACATTACCGTCAGCATTTGCAACTGTGTCAGAAGATTTAGAACTATTTTCTTCGCTTTGTATGTCTGAAGAACTCCCCACTATATCGTCGTCTTTGAATTTTTCAATCCAACCGGTCTCTTCCAAATCCATTTCTTCTGAGTTTAACGGATTCATCATAATGTTGTCTTCTTTTGGATTATTAACGCTGAATCTTTCGTGCAATGATAATAATGGTGTTGTAACAGAAATCCTGAAATTTGATAAATACATTCAAAATTAAAGACAATAAAACACTTTTAACTTTATTTAAATCTTATATAATTGGTATTATTCAGTATAAGTCAAGGGAGATCTTATAAAAGGCTGTTATATTCGTATTTTAGCAGAATGTTACATTGAGGCATGCTTTTGAGAGTATTTTAACTATGGTGTCGTCTCTTCTCAAAAGTTGAGTGCTATCAATAATTTTCACTTTATGTATTGGGAGATCCACACAGTAAACTGAATGAACAGTTAGATAATAATAGGTCTTACTACTACGAACAACCAGAACGAGTTATGATTACTTCGTTTAAGCTTTAGTCTCTTCAAGTTTGGGCTGTTCCTTTTTTTTGGCGGGAGACCGGAGTGGAGGTGACCGATATCATCACCTTTTTTTTTGGCGGGAGACCGGAGTGGAGGCGAGCGATATCATCAGTTGATTATTGGGTGTGGTAGAACTGCTAGAAGAAGAAATAAGGAGAATTTAGCCTTGCCAGCTGTACGGTTACCAACCACACTAGGAACGGCTTATTGAATTAACTGTGAAGTATGCAGTGTTTGGCATTGCAGCTAGTTAATATCTAAGATATTTTAGGGCGTTGTCAACTCATCAGAAAATTCATGTCCAGCTAAGTTAAAAATTTGCCAAAAAAACTAGTTTGTCTTTCTACTGTTACTCTAACTTATAATTATTTCCAAAGTTTCTAAATCTCGATAAAATTTTCCCTAGCTAACTTCATAACTCCACACTAATAAGAATCACAACCACGATACTTTCATTACAAGCAAAATCAAAACTTACATAAACTCCGCACCCTCTCCATTAACTAAAACCAAATCTCCATTGTTACTATAATCCATTTTGGTTATAGGTGGATTGGCAAAAGTTGATATAAAAGGACCTAAAGAGTGGAAAGCCGAAACTCTAACCCATCGACAGTCATCTTTAAGTAGGACGCCAAAAGTTGGAGCTAATTTGAGAGTTCTTGTGTTCTGGCTGCATGCACACGACACATAAGTTATGGCTTCTGCGCAGGTCTTTCTCACTCCCCATACGTCGTCTGTGCATAGTGTAAGGTATTTTGGAACCTAAAAAAGTTTAATGAAAAAATTTGGCCATAGGTTTGAAATAGAAAATAATTATTAGTTTATGTTAAACAATACTATGGTTTGTAAATAAAATACTGATGGATATTATTTTAAAAATGTTCACAAAACTTATTTAACAAGTAAAGGTAGCAGTACCAAACGGCAAACACTGACCGAAATCTTATATTTTTGTGGATTCTGTATAAACAAATATTTCTCAAGTCAACTAATTCGTATTAGTTCCCTTACCACCGTTCTTTGGCCTTTTATAAAGCGCCATATTTCCTTTTGTAGGCCATAAAAATTATGTTTCATTTCTTTCGAAAAACTTTTCCAGCGGTCAGTTTTTATTCTTCTACAAGTGCATGTTTGGTTTCTTATTGTCTTATAATTATTGTATGCTTTTTGTATTTTGGTTGACATGTATTTCATGTAAGCCTATTTTCTTTTCTTTATATTTTTTCTTCACTTCAGTAGAAAATCATAGAGTTCTTCACCTTGGGAACGATTTATTTTTATTTATTTTTCTTTCACAAAGAACTTCCTTATCTGACATTACGATATTTGATACCTGTCGATTTCCATAATAAATTGGGTAGAAGCATACATTTTGATACAAAAGATAAACTTTGCATGAACATACCAATATTAAAAGAGTTAGTAAGAAAATAAAAATTCGAAATAAGGACAAAAATTTAAGAAATCTCTAGAGAAATTTGGAATGTGTGTTAAAAAACATTAAGATTATTAAGAATTATCAATTTGAATTGAAAATGATGGTAGAATGCAGTAGAGAACATTAATATACGAAGCAGAAAGATAAATAAAATAAAAACAAGTTGTTGACACAGAAAATCGTGAAAACAAAAGAATATTTTCGTATAAATAATAAACAAAGAAAAAAGAGACTATCCAGCTCCATATTACTATAAAAGCAGATGCTATAATCCTAATGCATCGGTAGTGTTGATAATTAGGATAAAATCAGCGACATTATTAACCTAAACGCAAAATACTAATTCAATGATCTTGACAATAATTTTGCTAATTATTCTTCTAAATGAAATAGTTCATTTGACAACAAGCATTTTTGCTGAAATAGATGATTTCATTACCGAATTTTGTGAACATTCTTAAATTGTTTTCACGGCTTGATTATATGATAACGATATCAATTGCCATCGAACATTTTTAATTAAATGTAAAATATAAAAAAATTCAAAGACCTGTTCAAAATTTGGTTTTAAAAGTATAAAAGTTTGGTTTAAAAATATATAAAAAATAAAAACTAACCAATATCTTCTCGACCGAATCGTGGCTGATTACGGCGGCGAAATTTCCAAAATATGCCGCACAAACTGTACGGATGTGAAATATTGGACTGGAGCATAAGTCTATGAACCTCCCGAGGAATACACGTTCCGTTACATCCCGGCCAAGTAATGGAGCTAATTTGCTCATTAACTGCAAAAGAGGATATCATTCAGAGCAGGAAACAAAAATAAAAAATATGTATTAGGATATCAAAAATGGTCCTAATTTAATTGTATTGGGTAAAAGCATGTAAGCGCACTTGAAGTGTAGATGTTATTATTTATCCAATACATAATTTAAAAAGTTTTTAGTTGTACAAATTGGTTTTTATACTATATTGCTAATTCGTACCACTCAATCCAATAAAAATTAAATGTTTACATAAAAAATAATTCTGACATGAAACATGAACCAAACATAAATGACAAAAGCTTTACTATTTAATCAGTCGAGTATTTGACCACCGACCGGACATTTTTTTTATTGTATGGCTTGAACAATTAGTCGTGTAGCCAGTTGCCTATGATATTAAAGTTAATTTAAAGTGCGTATGTGGAGTAAATGCCTAGTTACTAAGTAAAGTCGGCATCATTTTTTTACAAAGAATTACTATATCCGAACCACTGCGGTGCCAAGGGTGAATACCGATCCGACAAAGATTTCTTTTTAATAAAAATTCTCATCCGGACCGGATTTAAACTCACGACTCCGACTTTTGGCACTCAGTAAGTTGAAGCTGTTAGCGTTGCGCCATCAAGGCGTTAGAACGATTAAACGTTCCTGGTTTAATGATTGCTGCTTTGGTTAACGTCTTATAAAATAAATACCTTGTAAAACAACTTTAGGCATTAGGAACGTTACACAGCTTACTATCTTCATTACATACTACCGGATTCATATACTTTTATACTATAATTGAGTAATAGCAGTCAATATCCGGCAAAGACATTAAACAAGGTAGTTTATTTACATTCTTCTTTTTCATACATTAGTTATATAACCTGTAAAAACTTGACAATATTTTGCAATATCATCTTCTTCCTTCTAGTATGTAGGCTTTAAAGCCTATTTCTTCTTCAATATTAGCCTCCTAAATTGTTTAAATTGTCGCACCATCTTTTTTTGGTCTGCTAATATTTCTTCGTCCATTTGATGACTTATCTCGTGCTATTCGTACTATTCTATCCTCTGCCATTCTACTGATATGATCGTTCCACTCCTGTTTTCGTTTCATCACCCATCCATTTATGTCTTCTATATCTTCTTCCCATTCTCGTTAAAGGTTGATTGCAATTTCTTCTTAGTTCTCTTTCCATCTCACTACATCTTAGGCATCACAGTTTTGCATATATTAGTTTCTTATTCGATCGCGTCTTAGTTTTTCCTACTATAGATCTACACTATAGTCTTTAGCTCAGCTGTTCTTAGGGCCTGTTGTATTTTTTTTGTTTCTATGGCATATGCAACTATTGGTCGAACGCAGGTTTTATGAACTCTTGTTTTTAGTTTCAATACTAGATGCTTGTTTCTCAACGCAATGACTCTTAATGCACCTGCAGTGGTTGCTGCTTTTCTGACTTTGTTGGAAACCTATAGTTCCTCTGTACCTTACCATGTAGTAATGCTTGTTTTCCACTCTCGAAGTACTTCCTCTTCTCGAATTTTTTTGTTATTTCATTTGATCGTGGTCCTTCATATTTTACTTGCCCTTTTAAAATTGTATCTTCTTGCGCTTTTTGGAATTTCAGCTATCGTACTGCGTTTTCAACTTGATTTTAAAAGTATTTTTACATTCTTTTAATTTTAGTGTATTTATAGATTTATATTCATTTACCGGTCTTCTTGACTACCAATGTCCTTCGTGCATCTTTTATGGTCCTTATTAAACCGATCCCCAAAAGGCGAAGATATGGCTAATAATGTAAATGATAAGAAATTATTCTTCGAAAAAATGAACACACCATAGGTCTCATAAACGAAAAAGATATCTAAATATATTAATGGACCCCACAGTGCTATTCGAACTTGATGTAATGCGGCTTGAGCTAAGCAAATTGCTAACAGAGGACCAAGAGAACAGTAACACGCAAAGTACTGGCATGTTACACCGTGAACAAACCTCTAAGAGTAGAATGTTTAAAAATAACTATCACAAACGATCTACTGAATGTACGAGGACCTATCTACTTCCATCATAGGTCTTAAATCTATATTCGAAGCTCTTCAGTTATTCTTATTAATCCCATGTTCGTGTGACCAGAATAGAAAAAAAAAAAAAAAAACAAAAATAATAAAACCGAGGACTCAGAACCAAATAGCCAATAAAAAATTTTGAAAAAGAATGTCCAGCAACTACCTGGCTATCTCATTTCACTACTATATACGACCATATTGTATGTTGAGCACGAGAAGCTAATCCTAGACACAATCTGTAAACAATGTATAGTTTAGTAGGAAAAATGGCACGAGTACACTAAGATGCTTAAGACTTAAAGTCATTATAAAACGAGAAAAACAAATATAGCTTTAATCTCTGTGTAATATGTAAATAAAATACACCATGATGTATTCGTATATGTCGGCGACAAGACCAGATATTACAAAACAACTGAAATCCCTCATTGAAACGATGGGAAACACTTCTTGGGGATACAAAAGATATTTATATATCTCAGTAGTTTGTAATACAGACCAAATAAACGATTGGACCCTACATATTACTACCCCTAACAGTTAAAATTCTTGATTGAGATAATTTTCTCCTTGGAAAATATGGTATCAATCTGTAGAAATGAGGCAAATAAGAGAATATAAATTTCATTATATAAACATATAAAATATAAGGGCAAACGTCCATTGAATTCCAGAATTAACTTATACCCTTTGTTTTGATATTCAACAGGACATTTGGCGGAAAACTAATTAAATTCCTTATACCACTTTTTTTCAGGTCAAAATTGGCAATCATTGACCCTATTTAGACTTGTCTCATGCCTTTCTTAAAAGTGTTATTGTACTGGTTCCATACCAATGCCGTAAATTTGTTATCCAAGAAGTTTCTATAAAGACTTGTACCCCTTTGACCATTAATCTTATCCTGTAAAATAAGTTAAAGCAATTTGTACTACAGAGCATATTCTCTATGTATTCTAATTTAATTTTTTATTGTATTATTTCTGTTTGTTTAGTTTTTTTTTTGGTTTGAGACTGACGATCCACATTCCGAAGACTGTTAGTTTTTTTACACAGGGCATTTCTAAGGGTACATCGGCCTCTTAAAATTAGTATACTGAGCATAATTAAACCTGAGAATACCAGTTCTTAAGAGTAAATTGAGGTCGCGGCTGCAAATACATTTTTTTAAAAGCATCTCGAACTCGTGCTCTTCGGGACCTTGTCACTCGTCACACTTTTCAGTGTATATTTTGCTAATTGCGTTCTATAAAATAGGTTTTCCGACATATCACCAAGTTTCTTAAATATCCTGTGCCATACAATTTTAAGTTTTCCAGTTGTAAGTACTTATTTTCTCGTCATCTTGCGTCATTCCATTTTAGCTGCTGCATGGGCAACAATAAAGTCTTTCCGCAATATGTTCTGTAGCTAAAAGTTGTATCTGCATCTTCATATTCCGTTTCATAAACCTCTCCAAAGATTTTACGTCTTCTATGATTTTAGTAGTCCATGCTTCTGATTCATATGTATCAGCGTTTTTACGTTACGTATGTATTTTTACGTTAAACGACAATTAGTCTAGGAGACAGGGAGAGAGGGGAGTATTCACTCGGTACCTTAACGTTATGTTTTTTGGTGCGTAGATTCGATTTTTCACGGGTACCAGGCTGAAACTCCGTCAGATAAATTGTTATCAACAATTTATTTGTTTAAATGATTGTATCTGCTATTAATTTTACCAAAATGAAAATTGTTCCTTTTGAAAAAATGAACAAATTAGAACCGGAGTTACAACCAATTTCACGAAAAAAAAATTGCAAAATAGGCATTTGATGGGGCTTTTTCAAGTATAACTCCTGTATAAGCCTGTATAAATTAACAATTATTGCTTTTATTTATGAGATTTAAACCATAAACTTTAAAAATCTGTTTCAAAACGAACATTTTAAGCTTTGGTACATTAATTTTTGACCAAGATACGGAATTTTTCATAACGCGCTCTGAGGCGCAAGGTCAGCTCGCAGCGAATGCGCGCGCGTATGTCAAAGAATCAACATGCCACCGTTTACAACTCAATTTTGTTTAAAACTCTTATAAACTAATTAATTCACCACTTTTTAGCGAAAATTTTAATTATAGACTTCTATACCTTTTTTTATTTACAATGACACAGTAATATGCATCTCGTGAATCTACATGGATTTTTCGTACTTATGTATTGGATTTTATTCGATGCAAGCTTAAAATGTTCGTTTTGAGTTGTTCTAAAACTTACTTTGGCCAGATTTTCAAAGTTTATAGCTTAATTTTGTCTTGGCTCTATAGCTCTTGGTCAACTATTTCTCGCTGGTATTCGGAATTTCAACGCGGTCGCCCAGTCTCAGCGACGAATGCAGGCCAGGTCCACCCAAAACAGCAGCCATACAAGAAAACTTCGATGCGGTTCGTCAGCTAAGTAAGGATAACCGTTGTCACCGAAATATAGAGGCATCTTTGGACATTTCAAAGACCTCCATCCAAAAGATCATACATGGAGAACTGGGTGTTACGAAGTTGGTTTCTCGCTGGATCCCTCATTTACTCACAGAAGAGCAAAAATCGGTTCGCGTCGAAAACATTGGTGTCGAAAAACACCAGAACTACAAATCAAAAAATAAACGCCAATCCGCTGTTTGAGTGTTGGATTAATAAGGAAAACAAAAGTGATCGGTTCTCGAAGTGCGTCAAAAAAATGGTCACAACCAAATGGTAAAAATCTGGTCATGTGGCAACAATTGCTTTAGAAGATGGAAGAACGGTTACTTCTGATTGGTATACCAGAAACCGTTTGTTTACCAGAAGTTATCGCGAAACTCCGACAAAGCAGCACACAATGGCGAATCGTCCTACATCAGAACAATGCAAGTACTCACACTACCCAAAAGACAATAGAGTTTTTGGAGTTTCAAAACACCGAATTGTTAAACCATCCACCG